AACTGGTTACTCTTCTTCCTTACCTGGCCCCTCTGTCCCTTCCACAGTATAAATAATTAAAAAAAAAGTCCACCTGCAAAATACATTTAACATTAAGAAAAAAATCAAAGAACCATCAAAATTATTTTTATAGAGGACATACTGATCAATACTTTTTTCAAAATTAAGAATACGCTGCAGTTCAATGTAGATGAGATATCACAGGTCCATCAGAGGATAAGAGAAGTAGTGTTTCAATGGACAACATAATATATTTTATATTCCTGAATATTTATGTAATCAGATTCAGCACACAGTTCTAAAGCTGACATTCCTATTCCAGTCGCTACAATTAAAAGTTCACTTGATAAGACATGCAGAGAAATAAATATGCTTATGGAAATAAACACTTTAACAGGCTAGACATATTGAATTAATAGGACTGATTATTTTTAATACAAAATAGAGACTGATTTAACAACCTAAAACAAGGAGCTAATAGAATTACCATTAAAAGTGCGATTAAGTAAATCACTATATTCTCACCACAGTTAGTCCTACATACACGTCCTTAGCATAAAATTTATTTGCTCTTCACCATATGCTCTTGCTCCTTTATCCATCTGTTGAGTCAAAAAACAAGGCTGGAATAAGAATTTGTAAGAGAGAAAAGCAAAGTAACAGTATTTTCCACTGCCAAAAAGAACTGCATTTTGAACTGATCTGAACTTTGAATGAAGTTTTAGTTCAGTTGTGTTCCTCACATTAGACAATTTCTCTGTGCTTAAACAACCACTGAACATTTGCCTGAAGTTTTGTCCCCAACAGCAGTCCCCTGACCAAAAAAATTTGCTTATAAGGGATTGGTAACAATACGCTGAAATCAAGATGGAAGTCTTACTAAAACTTCACATGGACTTGGTATGAAATATTGCAAAGTCAAGTAAACCTCAAGTCACACATGCTCTGTAGACCTCCACGGGTAACCCAATTTAAAATCAAAATGGCCACATCCTCTATCTACTGAAGTCCTAAACCCTGAACTGCTAGAAGGTACAGCAATGAACTCTGACACCTGAGACAGGTATACAAAGAAAGTACTTCTAAAGGCTTAGCCAGATGAGAACAAGATAAGCATCTTGGCAGAAGCCCTTCTTCTGTTTGAGCCAAAATTCCTGCTCCAAGTTGCTTCTTCAAACTTACGGCACAGGTGCTTTGTAAACTCCAACATGCTAACTTGGTGCAAACACAGCAGAAAAAAGCATGTGCTGGGAGCCAAGATAGCATTTTCTCATTGTTTCTATCTTCTCCAAAGAGTCTGTTTAGCAGAATACAGACCTTTTTGCAGTCAGCATTTCTGCTCTGAATCATAGAATTATTAAGGTTGGAAAAGACCTCCAAGATCATTGAGTCCAACCAGCAACACAGCACTGCTGTGTTCAGTACTAAACCATTTTCTCAAGGGCCATAGCCACACATTTTCTGAACTCTTCCAGGGATGACAACTCCACCACTTCCCCGTGCAGTCTGTTCCAATGCTTTATAACCCTTTCTGCGAAGAATATTTTCCTAATACCTGATCTAAACCCGGCCTGATACAGCTTGAGGCCGTTTCCTCTTGTCCTGTCAATTGTTATCCAGGAGAAGAGACCAACTTCCATCTCACTACAACCTCCTTTCAGGCAGTTGTAGAGAGAAACAGGGCATCCCTTGAGCCTGTTTTTCTCCAGGCTAAGCAACCCTAGAAGATTCCCAATCTCACATCTCTCACTAGCTGCAGCACCCCTGAAACATGTCTTGCCAGCACTGTCTCCAGTATGATCCTCACCATCCCAGCAGAGCACATGGACATAAGCATCCTTTCAGTTCTTGAGATAAAACTCAACAGCAGGAATTTTTCTTTTGTTATTAAAAAAAACAACTCAACACTAACTCCCAGCTTCACAGTTCAATGTATTAGGACAGTAGTTGCCTAGTAAGAAGCCAAGAGATTGTCAGCCTGCAAAATCCAGTACTAACTCCTTTTCTGTTCTCACCTACAAGGACACAGTAAGAAGCTAAGTAGTCATACACGTAACAACTATCTCCCTACTACTTCCCATCAGGGATACACACAGAGATCTACTGTGCCTCAAATGTGCTCTTGAATTGCACAGGGCAGCAATCAGTGCAAGGAGAACAGGAATGCCACCAGTGTGCTTGGCATTCAGTGTTGCATATTAGGAAGAGAAAGAACAGTCTCAAAACAACGTATAAGTAACCTGAATCTAGAATAACAAACCATACAAGTAATTATTCAAGAACATGTAATTCAAGTAAGTACTTTGCCTCGAGCAGCTGCTACTTTCCTGGCTTTTTCTCTCCCAGCACCTACCAAATAGTCAAGAAGTCAGAACAATTCTTCTGGGAGAGTTTTCTACTTGAACTGTTTAAAACTAAACCCTACTACTTTGGGGATATATGAGCAAGACTAAAACACTGTATTCACCAGATGTATGCCTACCTTAACAGCCTTCTCCTGTGTTCATGTCAATCTTTATTTTCCTCAAGCTCAAACATCCCTGATCTCACAGTGAGTTGCTCACACTGACCTCAGGAACAGACTACTCAGAGCCAGACTTCTGTCTGAGTGTCTCAGCCTGAGCTGCAGCCACTGTCACTCACCAGCCAGACCTGCTCCACTCCACTGCCTGAAACTGGGCCAAACACTGCCACACCTTCCATGTGGGCACTGGATGCAAACAACTGCCCTACTTCCTTGATCCTCCCTTCCTGCCCAGCTCACCTTTTAATTTTATAATGCTGCAAAATAGAGTCCACAGCCCTAAAGTCCAAGCCTAGATGAGCTCCATCTTGCAAAGCATGAGGGAGTCTGAATGTTTCCATGCTGTGTCAGAGAGGTAAGACTGTTATATGAGTAGCTTTGCTCTGTGTAACAGAAGAGAGGTAGTTCATACTGCTTAGGATGGTTTAGGACTACCCCAGGACCAATTTGAAACAGCAGCATTAACACTGCCCAGAAAATCCATGGGAGTTATTCTGTCACAGACAAGTGTTATCTCCAAGAGCCCAGTTGAGACTGTCAGGTTCCTCACATTAGCAGCACAACACCAAGCACTGCTCTGAAATGACACAGGAGACTCTTCAGACATGCTAAACTTACAGAAACGTTGTTCTCCTCGCACACATACTTAACCATTAATCCTAAAGCTGTTTTCCATTTCTTCTCCCTCTGCTAACACTCTTAACACCTAACGTGCCCTTATCTATTTCAAAAGGCAAGAGCTAACAGCAAGTATGTTAGAGAAACTGCTGAGTTTGCACTTAAAAATGTCTAACCAAAGCCCTGAGTTGCAACCATCCCATTTCCATCCAAATAAATACAGCAGAAGGACCAACGACACAGTCGTTACGGTGCACGCACAATACAAGTACTGGTTACGCCCAATAAATCTCTTTTGAGGTAGGTATACGCAGTACAAAATATATTAAGGGTCAAATGCAAACACCATATTCACTTCGTCTTCTTGCCTTGTCTTCCAGTTTTGCAGGAAACCTTGCAAACATATTATTTCTGCCTAATCAGCATTCAAGCCAGGTTTTTCTGAGTTCTGAGCTCTAAGACAATTTGCAGCTACAACACCAGTGAAACCAAACCCATACACATAATGCTATCATGGAGTTTCAGTTAGGGCCACAAGTAAAGTAGGTTAACACAAAATACAGCTAAGAAAAATTCAGGTATTTTAAACAGATTTGCAGACTAAACAGTGCTGTTCGAAAAAAAAACCAGTGCTGTTCTGATAGTTTCATCAACAAGAAAAAAAAATAATAAAAACCTTCTGCTGGGGGTTTTCAAATGAAGTATTAAACTAGAAATTTGAGCTTAGTTTCCAAAATCTGATTTTTGTGATTTGTCCCCCATCACTAGAACAGAAGAGGAAAGGAGAAAGACAGCTTGAGTCACAGGCAGCCCTCTACCCCCAACTCCCTTAGAAAAAGGATTCAGTTAAAGAATTCAAAGAACTCTAATGAAAACCATGCAAACAACAGATAAATCAGATTACAGTCTGCTCAGAATTCAGCCAAGGTTCACATGGAAGGTTTGCAAACCTTAAGATAAACTTGTCCCAAGTTTAGAGTTTGTGACAAGCAAGCAAAGAGGTTTGGGGTTTTTCCCAGCTGTCAGACGCAGGATACAATAACAAAAATAATAAATCTGGAGATTCACTTTCCTTTTGAAAAAATATCTATAAAAGTGATACATCCTATTATAAATAAGATTAGAGATTAATACAAATTCATATTCAGTGAATAATTAGTGCACCAACAGTTGCTTTAGAAAGATGATTGAGCAGAGAAGCATCTGCTAATCAGTCACTTTTCTTAGTCTTTTTTTTTTTTTTTTTTTTTTTTTTAAAGAGATAAACCAAGAGGACTGCTATCAGCTAGTGAATTAAGTGCTGGGAAGTACCAAAATGCAATTGCATTGGCTCAAACACACACGGTCACATCTTGTTGTGAACAAACAAAAAAACCCACGACTACAGAAAGAAGCAGCACTGACACCTGCCTGTGCTTGTATGACTATTGCTGACTTTGTCACAAGCACATGAAGGTTGAAGAAATTTCTCCCCCATTGCAATGGCTCTGTCTACAAGCACAACTTGCAGGTCCTATTTCAAAATTCATTGTCACATCACAAGTCACAGTGATTAAATATTTGGGCTTTGAGCAGTCCCTGTTAACTCCAGTTCTTTGAATATCAAGTAATTCACCATTTATCCCACCTTCTTCCATAGAAAGGCTGTCTGGGTGAGAAACTTTCCCCAAAGGAAAAATGATGGATGAAAAAAATCCGAGTACCCAACAAGCAAAAGAGAAAGGTTGTACTGTACTTTCTCAAATGTCCCAAGAGAAATTCAGACTTGCGAGTGATAATCTTCACAATCTGAAGATAGAAATATTCTACAAATTAACGACAAAAGAAACACAAACAAAAAGAAACAACTTAAACATGATTGCAATAAATGTATTGAAGTATTAAAGTAAAATAAAGAGGTCCAGAAGAAGCATTTGGACTCCAAAGAGGAAGAGTGGGACAAGCCTTCACCTCTCAGGTCCAAAGGACAGTTTGGATATTTAACAGTGTTAACAGCTTCCCCCTGAACAATGGCAATATTGTCCCTTCAAGTAAGTCAGAGGTAGTGTCTAGAACAGCATAATGACCACAGCAGCAGCTATGCCTGAGGTGGCCCAAGAACAATACCATCTCATCCAGCCTGGCCACACTGCTATGGGATCAGCAGCAATCCTTGGAGTGAGCCCTGGTGATGGGAAACAAGCAGGATTCACACACAAGGGCATGGTGAGCCTAGTCACCAGGGAGATGTGCCCCACAATCGGGTACATCTGCTCCAGAGGCCAGCCTCTCTTCGGCAGGCAGAGACCACGGCAGACGGCAGCAGATGTGTGCATAACTTAGTCAAACACTTAGCACAGACAGACACGCAGCAGCACTCAGACAGCACTTTGTTCCACTCAGGTCCACACATCACCAGGAGCGGGGACCCGGCTGTACGTGATGTCTAACCACGTTTCCTCTAGGACACTTTTTTTTTTAAATAAATGGAGACTACAATGGGTTTCACTTCATAAGTAAAACACTGAGCATAGTTCAAAGATGTCCACTGAGGAGCACAAGCAGGATACAGCAATCAGGATTTAGATGTAGATTCATCCTCTTCTAAAAGGAGGTCATTCAGTGCAATAACTGTAGCAGCAAAGTCAACCAGCTCCACAAAGTCCGATGTAATTATGTTAACACCCATAACACCGGGCTTCTGCTCTTTCACCCAATTCAAAATCATGGGCAGGTTCCTAAAGAAATTGAAATAAAGACAATTAGACACTTTGAAAAAGAGACACTTCTCTATAATTACTCTACTTACTTCAAACAACGTGCTATTTACAAAATATATTCTCATATCTGTAACAGGGTCCTGACTGCCACCAGCTGATGAGAGGAGTGCTTAACATAGCACATGGTCATTAGCTATCAAACACTGGTCAGTCACAATCCAAATTAGCAGGCATACAAAACATTTGTGAACTCTAAATTCACTGAGCAGACCGTGCTTCAGTATTTACCGATACACTACAACTTTCTCCAACCTGGTTTGTTTTTACCCAAGCACGTGTTAAGTCAAAAGCTCAATTTCCCAGCAGACTGCAGTGTAGCACAAAGCAAAGCTGTATCTGGCCTAAGATGTCCCCCTGCCCATTTCTGCCTCAGGGTGGGCAGAACAAAAGCCGGAGGCAGCATTTCTACAAAACTCCTTTCAGCTTCCAGAGCCACCCAAAGCAACGGGATCAGGGAAACCAAACCCAGAACCAGGCTGTCAGCTCTACAGGGGTTGAACATTCTGCTAGACATCATCACTGTAACCACAGAAGTGCGAGGCGTGTCAGGAACTGAATTAAATGGAGTTAGAAATCTCACCATGGGGAAAAATTTCAAGTAATTTCTTGGACACAGTGCAAGCCAGGAGTCTTGCACTCTAAAGTGCAAACACCAGGTTTTTCAGCCGTTAGACAAATGGATAAATATATTAGCATTATTCAAATTAGTGCCAAAGCACCCATAATTAATTGGGAAGATGGTAGACAAGCAAATTAGCTAACAGGATGATAAAGAAAAAAAACACACCCACAAAAATCTAAAAACACCCTACGATACCTGTTTCAGGAAAACTTTAAGAATCTTATTAAGAACCAGAGAAAAAAAGAATTTGAGTGAAGGCATAATTACTGCCCCTTTCAAGGGACACACGAGACTTCTGCTGGCTAAGTGTGACTGTTGCACATTTCTCCTTTAACAAGAGCTCAAGAACTCCTAAATATTCATATGCAGGGCAAAATTTCCATATGAGAAGGCAGACATCTACATAAAATGCAAAGACTGATTTGCATATCAGCTAGCTTGTGTAAATGTACACGAGCAATCACGCTTTAGCAAACAGCAGCATCTATTAAATTTTCAGTTTCCTTGCAAACAAGGGGTAAGGATGGGGCTGAAGGAACGGGACGGAGCGAAGGCAGGCTTCCAGCTAATAGCGGCTTACGGCCCAGGTGTGTGCCAGGAGTCGGCTGAAAAAACTCGGATGTTTTAAAGCCGAAGTGCGGTACGATGCTGACTCTAACCAGCAGCCCGCAGCCGGTGTATGGCCCAGCAGCGGCCCCGGCGCCGCACCCCGCTCACGGCCCCCGAGCGCCGCCCAGTGCCGAGCGCCCGCACAAACCCGGACTGTCAGCGGGATTTGCTCATGTTTTGCCACATTAATGCCTGTAAACAGGAAGGAGGCTGAAAATTCCATCATTTATACCGCCACCTGGAATTTCCTTGCTTCACAGAATCGCCCGGGTTGGAAAGGATATTAAAGGTCATCTCATTCCTACCCCCATGCTATGGGGAGGGACACTTTACATTTGACCAGGTTGCTCAAAGCCCCATCCAGCTTGGCTATGAACACTCCCAAGGATGGGGCATCCACAACTGCTCTGGCTTCATCACTCTCACAGTAAAAAATTTCTTCCTAATGCCTAGTCAAAACCTACTCTCTTGCAGTTTAAAGCCATTCCCCCTTGTCCTGTCACTAGAGGTCCTTGTACAAAGTCTCTCTCCATCTTTCTTGTAGGCTCCCTTCAGGTACCAGAAGGCTGCAATTTGGTCACCCCGGAGCATTCTCTTCTCCAGGTTGAATGAGCCCAGTTCTCCAAGCCTTTCCTCACAGGAGAGGTGCTACATCCCTTAAATGATCTTCAGGGCCTCCCCTCTGGACTCACTCCAACAGGCTGATGTCCTTTCTGGGATGGAGACCCCAGAGCTGGACACAATACTCCAGGTGGGATCTAATGAGTGGAGTAGAGGGGCAGAATCACCACCCTCGACCTGCTGCCCACGCTGCTTTGGATGCAGCCCAGGATGTGTTTGGCCTTCTGGGCTGCAAGTGCACACTGCCAGGTCATATCCAGGCTCTCATCCAACAGCACCCTCAAGTCCTTCTCCCCAGAGCTGCTCTCGGTCATCAACTTACATCAGCAATCTTTGTGAGCCCAACAACACTTGCTACTTTTAGAAAGGATTTTTAAAGAGCTATATTGACTTTAGCTTCAAAACTGTAATACTGTAACTAATTCTAAAGTGACCAATGAACATAAACACACATCTTCAGCAGCCAGTTCATCTCACTGCTTAGAATTAAGCTCAGTTCCTGATCAAATTAGACCAGTTGTGGCCACCTATACCAGAGTAATTTAAAACTTAATATCATTATGACAAGATAAACTGTTAGTGACGTCAAAACATGGAATATTAAACAGTGAGCCAGGAGACCAGATCCTATCAGGACAGTTTTGCTAACTTTTAGCGAACAGGCTACAATGTGATAATTCCTTAAGATAGTCATATGGAAATATTCTGGTCATGCTGTTAACACTATTGAAAGTCACTGGCACCCTGCACTACTCCAAGTAAAATCCTCTCACAATGATCTCACTCACAGATAAAATAATTGTACAACAGTGAGTGGTATTAAAGTGAAATGGTTAATCTAATTTTTGGTTAGAAAAGAAAAAACAACCAAGATAAAATACTGCCCCAGGTCATATATCTGCCCATTACTGATATTACTGGGACAGATTTGTAGAGACAAACACAAAACTGAACCCAGAAATAGCCGATTTTCCTCTGTGGCACAGGCTTTCCCCCACGCACACTTATAGTTTTATATATATATATATATATATATATACACCCTGTCACTGTATTATTTTCATTGATTTTTTTTTTTAAGGATTACAAATATCTCCCACGAGCAATAGTACTGAGCAAAACAGCGTCAAGCCATTTCAACTTGAAATGTGGTAAGTAAAGAACTGAGAGACAAACACAAGTTCTTACCTGTGAACAAGTGTGTTCTTCAGACCACGAACAAGATGCCGTGCAATAGTTTTCACTCGAGGCGTGAGGATTGCCTGAGAAACGTGAAAAGTCCCGTAACGACTTCGTTCCTCCAGTGTGGTCTCCAGGAACTGCAACAGTTTGTGCACGTTGGTTGTGTTAGCCCACGGTGCTGGCATTTTATTACCTGGCCACAGGAAGGGGTATTCCTCATACAAAGGGTGGTGGTAAAATATGAGAACCTAACAGAACAACAACAATAACAAAAAAAAGAGAAAAAAATAAACCAAAAAAATCACAATTATTATATTTTTATTTGAGCAGGATGTTGCATTGGCTTATGCTCATACAGTACTGTTGTAGCTAGCATAGCAGTAAAAAGAGGACCAAGCAAAAAGAAGGTGCTCCTGAGTCAAGAATGTCAGTAAATTTTTTGCACTATTGCTAAAGGAGATGGAGATCATTTTGGTCAGCTATGAGAACAGGATTGCTTCAGGCTTTAAGGGTCATCAGCTTAAAATGACCAAGTTGCCAGGAGTATACTGAACTGTCATTTGATGAATTCAGCTTAAATGCATTTCTAAGAGAATTTCAGATTCTTACCATCAGAGAATACTGTATCTGTACTTTAAGTTAAGGATTTTAACAGTCTTGCCATGTTCTGAGTAACTCCTACTAGGTGGCTAAAGTCTAATGGGCCGAGTGGCACAATGGCATTCTGCTCACACTTGCAGCATGAGATGCCAAAGCTTTCCTTCTTTCAGCAAAACCTTCTTCAAATCAAAAGTGCATGTTTTATGCCTTGTAAGGTGGTTTTCTATAAGAGAATAGCACAAAGATGAAACACTTTTTATTAACACCCACATTTACAAAACATTCATTTTGGGCCCTAGTACTGACAAAACATTAGTTCAGAGGAATTCCTCAAAGCCTCATGTATTTTACAGTTTAGGAATTACGGCTGCTGCTGAAATTTAGCCACTGTTGAAACCCTATCCTTGGTTTGTGTGCACACATGGGAGCAGAGAGATAAGGCATTTAACCTCACCCCTATAGATCTGGATGGCTGCAAAGGAGCTAAAAATTCTGTACTCTACCTCAGTCACATTAAAGCTTAGATGCTTCACACTGCCCAAAAAGATGACAATCAAATCCTCACCAACACAAGTCTGCAATACGTGCTCTTCCAGAAGAGAAAACCATTTGTGAGGAGCACAAAGCTCCAAGGATATATAATTTAATTTAACAAGCATGCTTGGGAACAGGACACAGACCAGCCAGATCAGGGATACATACAAAACATACACAGACCAGGGGATACAGAGCTGCATATAAATGGAGGAAAACATGCACACGACATAAAGGAGGCCCTAGTGGGCTTTAAATTGACCATCAGCATCATCCTTGGTCCAGCACCTCTGAGTGGGAACTACATACAGATTCTGGTTTTAAATCTTAACCTTTTGGGTTTGAAAAAACATTACACATCCTTTCCCTACCTGGTGTTTCTTCTCCCACATGTACTGTAACGTCACATATTCCACACATTCAACAGCACAAAGTTTGGATTCAAACGCTGAGCGGATCCTGTTGATCAGGAAGTGGTGATGGCTGTCACCCATGGCGTAGAAGTGATTGAAATCCAAGAAGATTACTTCCTTGGGGTGCTGCTCAAGGAAGGTATTAATTTCCTTCAGCCCATCCCATACTGTGATGCCAAACAAGCCATGAATGAAGTAAATCTCTTGTCCTATTTCCCCAGGTTTGGAAGATACACGAAGATCAAAGTAGCGGATCCCACCTTCCAACTGCTCTTTGAAAGTCAGATTTTGAGTCACTGACCATTTCTTCATGATCCTTCTGACCAAGGAAATTCTGGCCAAACGTTTGATGGCTGTGGCTTGGTCTGGTCCCACAGGAGATTTCTCATCAACCCAGTAGCTGAAAGAATCATGTGATCCTAGGGAAAAAAGCCAAGAATAATCAATTTTAAAAAAATTGACTCTGCCAAAACACATTTATCCATGTGCTCTGTAAACTGAACAAAGTCCTACTTATATGGTAGGATCACAGAAGAATTATGCTTTCACACTATCCTTTACATCTTAGTTTTATCTGACTCTAGAACAAGAGCTATGCATAAGGTTCTCAGTTGGGAGCTTACACAAGAAAATAGTTCCAATTTCAGTGCACTCTCAAAACCACAAGACAAACCTAAGTGGGTAAAGGAAAACTTCCTTCTAACCTTCCTTCAATTTATAAACTACCAATCAATCTTCAAAGCTTTCCCAGAGCCTGGCAGATCACTGATCTAAGATGAGACTTCCAGCTTCATTGTAAAAATCTGAGGACTTCAATTCTACATGCTAAATGCAATTATGACCTAATACAGCAGAGTTCTTCAAAGAGGTATCTTTATTTGTGTGATGGACAGAGGGATCTGTACCTGCACAAGCCTCAAGATGGTAAATAAATGATTAGCAGTTTGAACAGTGGGCAGTGACTGGCTGAACTTAGAGGTGGAACCATTGAGTACACTACAGTTACTGTGTGTGTAGATACCAAGCTCGTGTTAAATGAGTTCATGAACACATCTTTTACCTGGTAGTGCCTTTGCGTGACCAAACATATGGTGAATAGAAAACTCCTCAAAAAGACGACCAGCAATCAAAACCACCAGTGTGTGCCAAAATAATGAGTGTCCAACAAGGCTCCTGTAACACTATCTGTACCTTGGCAGAAAAACTGCATCTCCAGCATAAAATTTTTGCTTGCTAGGAGAAAACACCAAGTGAAAATTCAATAGTAAACAGAAAAAAACCTGAATAGCAAAATTCCTGTAAAGTAACAGCTTTGGAGTCAATCAAATATCTCTACCCTAGCCAAGTCAGTAACACAACAAAGAGTGAGGGCAATGTATCTCATCCTGCACTGTACCAGAACAGCAGAAAACAGACAGGTAGAAGTTGATCCACCACAGACTGAGGTTTACCAGTGATTTCTAATAACTGACACCAGGCATCAGCATTCTGGCCACGCAGCTGCAACTGCTCCAGGCTCATCTTCCCTGTGAAGCCCCAGACAGGAGAAGCACTACAGGAGCTCTATCAGCCCTCCTTCCCTTTATCTTCAGCACAGTGGACGAGAGTTTGCTCAATGAGCCAAACCCCACCCACACCCTGCAGACCCACTTGCTGGAGTACAGAGAAAGCATCTTCACCCCCAGTAACAAGGAGTTCATGTTCCAGCTGCCCCAGGAATACAAGGACCCTGCACCATGTTGCTGGCATTTGCATTTTCCAATCCTGCACGCCCCAGGTTCTTGTCCCTGCCTCTGGGACTATGCTTTTCTAGAATTTTCTCCTCTACCTCAGTTTGCAACTCTGAAAAGTCCTTACTTGTCATATCCAATTTTGAGTAACATTTTAGGCATCCATAGCCTCCTTTACCCAAACCTTTTGTGTACCACAGTTCACTTGAAGACTGATGCATTCCCTGTGATGCAAGGTCAGAGCTACAAACAAGATTATGATCTCAATTGGATTATCCTGTCGGCATTTTTTAATCCAGATGGAAGAACAGACTGTGCATAAACCAAACATCAGTTGCCAACAACCTTAAATGCCCTCTGTCTCCACGAATTTCAACTAGTTCAAAAGCAATAAAAAGGTACCATGACAGTTAGTTTTCAGGCTTTACAGTTAAGGACTAAAACTAGTTCTGACCAACTTTTCATGAATTCTTCACAGCCTTTGTACAAGTGTGCCTCTTATGGTTTTCCATTCAGTCCTCTAGAAACAAGGGACCAAAAGAGCTGGTTTTAAAAGATGCCAGCTTAAGAAGCTATTTACTACCTGTCACAGTAAACTACATGAGAAAGTAGCTGTCAGTTTTGGAGTGACAAGATTTTATTTCCCACCTCCAAGCATGCAACCCCAAACAAAATAACAGGATCAAACATCTAGTGAAGACATTTCAGAAGAAGCCATGTAAGGCTTGGCTCATGCTGCAGGATGTAGCTTACAGATGTTTGAGTTTCAGACACCTTCCCATACAGCAGAATGAGTCTTTCAAGTTTCTGCAATATTTGGAAAGTAGACTTCAATCACAAGGGGCTTGTCTTCTGCCTTGGAATGAGTCACTTGGCACACAGAAATCACAGGGGTTTTTTTTTTTGGTTTTCCACTGTGAAGATGTTGGTTTGTTTGGGGTTTTTTTATGATTTTGATTCTATTCATTTTTATTTCATCCTCTGCTTAGGCCAATGTAGAAAATGGTTTGACTTTCTGGAATAATGACATAAGAAATATTTTCTTTGTATTTTAACTAAGCCTATGCAGCAGTCTAGAGATCTGTCTATAGGAGTCACACCATTAAGCTCCCTAAGACTGATAAATCTGAGTTACAAAGGAATGACAATTTTAACTGGCCCCAAATATATCATTGCCAACTCGGAGTTGTCTGAGCAAATCTGAATCCAGAAACAGCTTGTTTTCCTAAGTCTGATCACACACTTTACAGCTACAAAAGCCTTTCCTTTGCAGATTGCCACATAAAAGGTGCATTTAAGGACATAAAGAGCAACTTTTCTCTCTACAGTATCATAATTTCTCTACAGTATCACAAACCACATTCTATTTATAGCACTAGAGAGCAACATGAAAGAAAATGAGCCAGAAGCACACTGCAACTTTTTCAACATATAGTTTAAAAATTGCACTCCTTAACAGCAACCTGAACTATGTGTGACATGCTTCTATAGTTAGAGAAGATCCTTTTAACTCCCTCCCCGTGGCTCTGCTAAAAGGCTAGAAAATGGCACTTTCACTTACAATGAAGTTAACACACATACCTAGAAAAAAACCAAGCAAGAACATGAGCTGGAGCATCTAAAAAACATGCCCTTCTTTTCACAGTTGGTAGCAGACCACCTGCTAAGGAGGACAGCGGAACATCATCAATTCTACTGATCATTCTATGATCAATACTGAGGCTGGAGCAACGGCACAAGTTCAGTTAGTTTTCAGTGGTCATTTAAGAAGGCCAGCCACCGCTGCAAAATATCTAGGCCAAACCTCTACCCACAGGTTTTATACTCCAGAAAGAGAAAAACAAACTGAAGCAACAGCACTGGATACTCATTGGGCTGTGGGGTAAGAGCAATGTGGGGATTCACATCATCCACCAAGCCCTTCTTTAATTTCAGATCACTATGATATGTTACCAGGTCAGCCACTGCCTTTTAATACAGCTTAGCTGTGATGTTAAGTACATGCTAAGCCGATTGTATCATGAGGTCAAAATAACCCCTGCTCTCTTCCTCTACTCTACTCTACCTACTCCTAAACTCCATAAAAAGCGTAGCCATTCTGCAGCTATGGCAGGAGCCAGGCTGGTTGCTGATATGTGTGATACAGCATGATTTTTTTGGAAAAAGCATAACCTAAACCAACCTAACTCTATAAAATTTAAAAAGCAAAGGCTAGTGCCTACACCAGAAGGAAGGAGCAGACCAGTCCCATTTCGTTAGCAGCTCAGTATAAGAGCTGCTAACCACATCCTCAATTCATGCCTAACACAAGGATGTGTGAAGATACTCAGATTGCTGTACAATGACAGCAACAGGGCTGGCAGTTCCTGGGCACAGCAAGTGCCATAAAACTCTCATAGAAACGTACATAGGAAAGTCTTTTTCACATGTAAAAACATCCTTCACGATCTGTGTTCCCCACCACATCAATAGTGTGTGTCACCTCAAATTATTCTGAGTACTTTTCTCAGGAAAAACAACGTCAAGAATTCTTGAAGCAAGACATTTCAGATGATACCTACCTCAAATATAAATAACACCGTATATTGATTCAATAAAGCTATTCCTTAAACCTTTTGACTGTGAATAAAGCAACTCACAAAACTAGGTATTTATAACCTCCACCTTACACCCTGAGAAGTTAAAAGGCAGAGAAAAGTCAAGAAACATGATCTTTCATCATCCTTTAGGAGAACAGAGGCCAGAACCCCAGTGTGAACTGCCTCCAAGGCATGTTCTTGCATGTGCAGCACACATCTTTGAGTTACTGTAGATGAGACCGGATTACCATTCAGACTGTAAACCTCACTGAGCTGCTCCAGTGACATGGCATCAGTCTGGTGCTCAGCCCTTGCCGAAACCAAGTCAGCCACAGAAAATACAACAAAGTGATGATAATTTGCCATTTGCTTCCAACTGGCTGAAGATGCACAGCATGAACCAGCAGGCATTAAATTTAATCATGAAAGAGACTGCACATTCAAAGACAAAAATTAGGGGACTGCTAATCAGCTGGCAGCTCTTACAGACAACAGCTGTTCTATTTTGGTTTCATTTCTTTCATCTGACAAAGACTGGAAATTTCAAGGAAAGCAGTCACATCCTGTCAAGTGCCCAGATATTTAACTATCAAAGGCTATGATATAGTTAGAACAAAGAGGTATTTTCTAGATGCCAGACTTAAAATTATGGATAGTCCTCTTAATTTTATCCTGGTAATTGCAACCGTGGATTAATTTTTATCTGTATCTTTAAACATATTTCTATTATCCTTATACTAATTTTTCAAGTTAATTGTATGTTAAACAGATAATTTCTCAATTCAATTTCTATGTTAAATAGATTGTATTTCACTGTTCAGGATGACTTTTTTCGTTGAAGCCCTCCTGCCAATTGTTAGAAAGCAGCCTTTTATCATCACATCTGCAGGGAAATCTACCTTTCCAATGTGTCTATTTGTCCTGCTACTTAGTCACAGATAGTCAAATTAACCCACAGTGTAGCTTGAACAAGTGATACTCATCAACAGAATGTTATTAAGCATCAAATTTCAACACTTGTTAGCCGCATCATTTGATATTATCTTTTGTTTCCACACAGTACTTTCTGCATATCCAGTGGCAGCAGAGGGATGGGGATGAGCATCATCT